TTGTAAGCTTGAAGGTGATATCTCGGAAGACACAGGGCAGGGTGACATTGAGACCCTGTTCATTTTTAAAAATAGGGATAAGCCACAATGTTGTGACATCTAGTATGTGGTAGATGAAGATTCATTGGAAATTCTTAATTGCACAGACTTTATAATCCATTATATAAAGTGTAATTCCATACTTTTTACTGTGGCAAGGGTGTGATGTGATTGTTAATCTTTTTAATTTTTGAATCCAAAATGAATTTAAAGTGTTGAATACTTAAATCCTCACAAGTGAATTATGAACCATTTGTAAGGTGTTTCTATAACTCTTTGTATCATGTGTTGGTACATCTTATCAAATTTTTTCTGGCATGTAATTCCATTCTAAACTTATGTAAAATTTCTATTGTTGCTGTAAATATTACACAAATATCTACTCCGTGATAACCTTCATTATCAGCATGAAATGGTTAATTTTTACTGAGCACAATGTATTTTTGAATGGATCTTCCCAAATGTCTTTAATAAAATGCAGATTTTGCACTGATTGATGTGACTGCCAGGCCGTCCCAATCTTGAGCACTGTGGTCCTTCGCGTTTAACTGCGAACAGCTCCATTTTAGTTCCTTCTTGGGAAGAAAGAATGCATTCGAATTCAAATGAGGGATGATGAGCCTTTGAGGTTGTAATCAGTTTAAGAGACAGAAATTAATGTAAAACAAGGCAAATCCTGTAACTCAATGATGTTGATCTTTGTTTTCCTATTTATAAAGCTTTTTTCCCCTTATGGCATTTTGAAAACTTTGGTTTCCTTTATACTTGAGTGTTATCACCTTTGCACGTCGCTAGATACTCATGTGGTAGTTTGAGGAGGATGGGAAGAGAGGCCGATCTTGTGCTAGGTGCTATGGAGAAAGCAAAGATGGACAGCGTGATAAGGGTTTTTTCATTCTAGAGGAGAGGTGGGCAAGCTTTTTCTTTAAAAGGCCAAATGATGAATACTGGGGGCTCTGTGGCCCATCAGGTTCCTGTCACCACTACTCAACTCTGCCTTTGTAGTGCAGAAGCTGCATGGATGATATGTAAATCAGCGAGTGTGGCTGTGGTCCCATAAAACTTTACGTATAGACATAGGCCATAGTTTACTAACTCCTGTGTTAGGCCCTCAGTTTCATCATTTAGGGTAAGACCAACCAAGTACACATTCAATCAGGAGAGAAAGAACTTAAATTTTATGCTAACATATATAAAATATTCTCCAATTTTCTTTGTCTTTCTAAACAAAGGGTAGAAGCTAAAAGTCAGTGCTTTCCGTTCTTAAAAGTACTGTGTCAATCAGTTCTTCACTGTGTCTCCTTAAGTGACATGGAAACTTATGGCCTATGCTTTAAACTATACACTTAACAAGACTGAATCAAAGTGTTTGGTGCTTATACTTTTTAATGTTCATAGCACTTACTATGGCCAGGCACAATGCCCAAGTGTTTTGCTTTTATTATTATTATTTTTCACAACAACCCAGTGAAACAGGTACTATTATTATCCCCTTTTTGTAAATGAGGAAACAGATTTCCATACTTGACGTTAACTTGCCCAAGGTCACCAAGTTTGGAAGTGGCAAGTCCAGGATTTGAAACCGAATATGTTCATTCTAAAGCCCATATACCCTTAAAAGTCACTGCATCTCCATGTGTGGAAACTGACGTGGAGCATAACGGTGGTCATGGTCAGTATTGTTTCTCTTTAGTAATTCAGGTTTATTCAAGTAACTCCACATTTCAGATTTCAAAAACAGTTTCCAACACAGAGTATATTAAGAACTTTGGCCGGGCGCAGTGGCTCACGCCTGTAATCCCAGCACTTTGGGAGGCCGAGGCGGGTGGATCACAAGGTCAAGAGATTGAGACCATCCTGGTCAACATGGTGAAACCCTGTCTCTACTAAAAATACAAAAATTAGCTGGGCATGGTGGCACATGCCTGTAGTCCCAGCTGCTTGGGAGGCTGAGGCAGGAGAATTGCTTGAACCCAGGAGGCAGAGGTTGCAGTGAGCCAAGACTGCACCATTGCCTGGGTGACAAGAGCGAAACTACGTCTCAAAAAAAAAAAAAAAAGAACTTTGCCTAAGGTTTACTCTAGGTGCAGAAATAAAGACAACTTAGTCAATTGAAGGAAAGGGTAACAGAAATGGCTATCTACACTGATGGAATAAGTGTACTAATTAGAGCAGGCTAAGTCCCCACAATGTATAACATATTCTTTTCTAAAAGCTCACAACAATTTATGTGCCAGCTTTCATCCCCTTTCCTTACAGATGGTAATTGATGTGATTTGAGAATAGAACATTTCATTGAAAGAAGTCACTGGAGGTCATCTGGGGATGTGGTTTAGAAAGCCCAGGATCAGGCCAGGTGCGGTGGCTCATGCCTGTAATCCTAGCACTGTGGTAGGCTGAGGTGGGCAGATTACCTGAAGTCAGAAGTTTGAGACCAGCCTGGCCAACATGGAGAAACCCTGTCTGTACTAAAAATACAAAAATTACCTGGGTATGGTGGCACATACCTGTAATCCTAGCTACTCAGGAGGCTAAGGCAGGAGAGTCACTTGAACCCAAAAGGCAGAGGTTGCAGTGAGTCGAGATCACACCACTACACTCCAGCCTGGGTGACAGAGCAAGATGCCATCTCAAAAATCAATAAATAAAAAATTTTTTTAAAAGCCCAGGATATCTTGAGTCAGGTTGCTGGGTGGAGTCCTGGCTCCATTTCCTACATCTCATGTGACTCAGTTTCCTTATCTTTAAATGGAGGTAATCACAGTACCTACCTCAGTGTTGTTGTGAAGATTTAATGAGATAATAACCTGCAGCAGAGCACTTGATAGAGTCTCAAGAAATATGAGCTATTATAACATGACTGCTATTATAAAGCATTATTGGTATTATTTCTGCCCCAATTGGCAGTTTCAGGAAATTGAGAAGGAATATCACTGAATCTTGAATGCCAGTTAAACAGAGCTTACTAGGTGGCCACAAAACCCTTTAGATGCACGTATCCTATTTGCTCTTCATATCAGCCCTGTAAGGTTGGGCTTAAGAATGACCCGGCATGGAACTACTCTTGGGACCACAGGGGAAGTGACAGCCCTTGTAAGCTTTTGTCAGTAGGCCTTTGCAACCAAGCCCCAAGTGGACAGAAAGGCAGGCTTCTGAGAGCATCCATTTTGAGGGTCACTTAGGGGTGCAATCTTCTGGGCTCTGAGAATGGATTCATAGCAGTGCCTCTATCTGGAAATACCTTTGCTTTGTCCAAGTAACCTCCTCCCACACTGAGTACCCAAATCAGCTCAGATTTTTTTTCTTAATATCGGCAACACTTAATGCTACTTCTTTGTTCATAACATTTCATTTAGTTATTTAAAAATCTGCAAATGTTGTGTATATTTTACCGCAATTTAAAAAAAATCTCCTCCAGTGTAGACCGCGCTCCAGCATTTATAAAAATAAAAGCAAACCTGTTAAAATAAGAGTGAGTTTTTCCTATGTTACGTGTAATTTTTAATTTGAAAGTTTCCCCCACAAAAGAAATGACACTGAAGCATAGTTGGTGTGTTTGACAGTAAGATTCTGTTAGGCTTCAGATTTTCCTCATTAAGTTTTAGTTTTTATACATTCTGTCATGAATTGAATAAGTAAATAATATGCTGTTGTAAGCAAATTACCTGCAGATAAATGTCTTATGAATCGTACATCTTATTGTTTATTAAATTCTGAAGTATTGAGTGGTTTCCAATGTGAAATCCCAGCTGGCTTCTTTGCAATGATGAACAAGTTAGTTGTAATTCATATGGAAATTCAAGAAACCCAGAATAGCCAAAACAATCCTGAAGACCGAAGTTGGAGGACTCACATGCCCCAATTTCAATACTGCAAAGCTACAGTAATGAATAAAGTGAGGTAATAGAATTTGGAGTCCAGAAATAAACCCTCTCACAATTACGGTCAATTGGTTTTTGACAAGGGTGCCAAGATCATTCAGTGGGGGAAAGAATAGTCTTTTCAGCAAATGGTGGTGGGACAACTGGATATCCACATGCAAAAGAATGAGGTCGGACTCCTATTTCACACCGTATACAAAAATTAACTCAAAATGGACCAAAGATCTAAATGTAAGAAGTAGAACTATAAAACTCGTAGAAGAAAACATAGGGTTAAATCTTCATGACCTTGAATTTGGCAGTGGTTTCTCAGATATGACACCAAAAGCACAAGCAAAGAGACGAACAAATTGGACTTCATCAAATGTTTAAAAATTTGTGCCTCAGAGGACTCTATCAAGAGAATTTTTTAAAAATCCACAGAATGGGAGAAAATATTTCCAAGTCATATCCAAAAAGGGAATTATACCTAGAATATACAAAGAATTCTTAAACTCAGTAAGTTGTAAGCCGATTTAAAATGAGCAGAGGATCTGAATAGACGTTTCTCCAAAGATGTGCAAATGGCCAGTAACCACATGAAAAGATGCTCAACATCATTAGTCACTAGGGAAATGCTAATCAAAACCACAGTGAGATGCAACTTCACATATACTAGGATTGGTATAATCAAAGATGGACAGTAACAAGTGTTGCTGAGGATGTAGAGAAAGTAGAAGCCTCATACATTGCTGGTGGAAATGTAAAATAATGCAGCCACTTGGGATGATAGTTTCTCCAGAGATTAAACAAGAGTGACCGTGTGTTCCAGCAATTTTACTCCTAGGTGTATACCCAAGATAAATGAAAACACACATCAACACAAAAACTTAGACACAAATGTTCATAGCAGCATTGTTCATAATAGCTAAAGAGTGGAAACCCAAATATCCATCAATGGATGAATGGATAAATAACAATGTGGTCTTCATATAATACTAAATGATGTTCAGCAATAAGGAGTGACATAATGATACACATGTTACAACGTGGATGAACTTTAAGACACTGTGCTAAGTGAAAGAAGCCAGTCACGAAATCCCACATACTATATGATTTCATTTATGGAAAACGTCCAGAATGGGCCAATCTATAGAGACAGCAGATTTGTGGTTACAGAGGGCTTGGGGTGGCCGATGGGTTGGGGAGTGATGGCTGATGGGTGCAGGATTTCTCTTTGGGGTGATAAATTTTCTAATTGATCTAGTGATAATGGTTGCACAACTCTGAATATACCAAAAGTCTTCAAATTGTACACTTTAAATGGATACAAATTGTATGTGAACTTAAATTTCAATAAAGCCATTACAAAAGTTTCCAACATGAACCATTATTTGGAGAACATTTTTCCCTGCCTCAGTTTCCTCCTTTCCTTTTCCCCTGAACTGCACTCTCTTGACTCCTATGTTTGATGTGCCGGTTATGGAAGTCCTTAACTCTTAGGATACTGCCATGTTGTCTGACAGTCCATGTCGTGGCCAAAGTTAATTTACCTTTCCAAATAAGCGTCTCTGTTCAGGCATTTCTGTCCAAAATAGATTTTTTCCTGTGTCCTAAGGCCAGGGATAAGATTTTCCCCCGACACCCTGTGTGATATATTTATATTTGAGAGAAGATTGGGCAAGGAAAAGCGTTTTCCGACGTTCAAGCATACAGCATGGGGACTAGAATGATGCTGGATTGCATATGAAATAATTGAGCCCCTAAAACATCAAGGAGGATATCTGGGGCTTTTAGAAGGCTACCTGTTCACAGGGAAGGTGAATGTATTGTCCAGGACTGTGTTAGCGCGAGTGTAGTCACTTGCCTTGGCATTTGAAAACGAAAAGTAACTCGGAAATGAGCTGCTGGCAAAAGCTACCCTGTGTCTAGGGCCAGGACAAGTCTTTGGAGCAGCCTCATTCTCTCATTCCACCACCTCCTCTCCGTGTACCTCTCCTGCCCTTCCCCGGTGTTTAGCAACCTCTCCCAGGGAGGGACCTGGAAACTCAGGCTGGGCTCTAAGTGGCCAATGAGGCCTCTCAATCTAAGGCGCCGCCTCCAGGAAGCGAAGGTGAGGTCCACTGCTTCCCAGAGAGCTTTTCAGGAGCGGGCGCAGTTTGCCTGTTGCAAGGCAGAAGGTAGAGGGTGAGCAGCTTTCAGGGAAAAAGCCACGTGGTCCTTTTTATGATGTGAGTCCTTCCCACTTCCTCCTAAGCCTGTAGCGATCTAATGGGCCTCTGAGTACCCAGTGGTAGCTCCTGGGCCGGCCGTTCTCAAAATATGTTTAGTTTGCTGGGAAATGGTAGCCCTAGGTAAAGGGCAATTGTGCTGTGTTAATGGTCATTTGGGGTCCCTACATATACTTAGATGTGCAGGCTGTGCTTTGTGATCACCTAAATGGGGACCACAGACACGGGGAATTTGCAGGAATGGATTGCAGAATGGAGCTGTGTGTATAGGGAGCTCTGGACCCTCCCTGATCCCTGGGTTGGTCGGGGGTGGAAGCCCAGACCACCTTGAAGGTAAGAACTGCGAGCAGAGGGACCTCCCCTACCTTGAGCTTTTGGTCATTTGTAATGTACAGCCTCTCAGGGCACTGGGACCCTCACCCACCACACTTATCCCTGCCACCCAGTCACCCTGGAGACCCTCAGCTGCCTCCCCAGGGCTGTGAAGTCCTCTTTGGTGATGATTTAGTAGAACCTTAACTAGGAAGACCTGCTCCCTTCCGCATCTGAAGCCAGGCTTTAGGAAACTGTTTTAGTCTTGAATGTGGTAAAGCAAAGGACTTTTTAAATTATCGGGGCTGCTTTTATTCTCCTGAGACTGCACCTTTCATAGTGTCACTGAGACAAAGAAATGAGCAGCAAATTACCCCTGCTACTTAGGCTTCTGTAAGAAAATTGGTTTCGGGGACGTTTTCTTTGTTCTGACTTTCTCTGGCCCTGAGTGGGGAACAAGTTCATTTTTATTTCATTGAAATCAGAAAACTATATCTTAAAAAAAAAGCAACATTATCTACCCCGTACTGCAGTTAAAATTCCTTTGTGAAATACAGCTCTGTCCACCCTGGTGGTGTGTCAGGGGTCTCCTATGGGCCCGCTGTGTGCCTATCACCCCCAGGAAGGCGCCGAGCCTAAGTGAACATCAGGCACACTTGCTGACACACTCCAGCAGCTCCATCCGGATGGCAATGCGGACATGCCAGCCCAGTGGGATGAGACGGATGAAGCGGGAGATGATGGGGGGCCGCAGCAGGTTCTGAACTGTGGAGGTGCGGTCCGAGTTGCCATAGAAGACCTAGAGAGATGGAGGAAATCCTGTCACCATCACATCAGAAGAGGGAAAAGGAAGAAGGATTCCCTTCTGGAGCTAGCCCCAGCTTTTAACTGTGGAAGGATTAGAAAGTGGTTAAAGCACACAGAGTTTGCAGGTGTTCCCTAAAATCCGACCTTGAGTGATTGTCATCACACCTCCATGCTCAGGACATCTGGAACTGCACCATCCCATAGGGTGGCCACTAGCCAATATGTCTGTCTACATTTAAATTCATTAAAATTAGATAAAAATTCAGTTCTGGCCAGGTGTGGTGGCTCACACCTATAATCCCAGAACTCTGGGAGGCTGAGGCAGGTGGATCATCTGAGGTCAGAAGTTCAAGACAGCCTGACCAAAATGGAGAAACCCCATCTCTACTAAAAATACAAAATTAGCTGGGCATGGTGGCACATGCCTGTAATCCCAGCTACTCAGGAGGCTGAGGCAGGAGACTCACTTGAACCTGGGAGGTGGAGGTTGCAGTGAGCCAAGATTGCACCACTGCACTCCAGCCTGGGCAATAAGAGCAGGACTCCATCTCGAAAAAAAAAAAAAAAAATCAGTACCTTAGTCATATTATTTCAAGTGGCCAATAGCTACACGTGACCAGTGGCCACCATATTGGACAGTACAGATGTGAACATTTCCATCATCACAGAAACTTCTATTGGAGGGTGCTGTTAGAAAATGCCTCTTGACTCATCGCTTTTGAGTTTTTGTCCTTTGCATTTTGACATTTTGAAAAGGTCCACATCACACTTACATGTTCTAAAGGTATCCAAATTAGGGCTCAAGTGAAAACCCATGCTTGGCTTGGGATTTGTAAGCCAAAGCTTAAATGTGTGTTCCTACTTTGATACAAGTGATGAACCTTTTCAACTTGGAAAATGTTTTTTAGAAAAGACATAAAATCTTGGCTGGGTGTATGGTTCATGCCTGTAATCCCAGCACTTTGGGAGGCAGAGGCGCGTGGATCACTTGAGATCAGGAGTTCAAGACCAGCCTGGCCAACACACCACGTATAAATGGACAATTCTCTACCTACATCAATAACCCCATCTCTACTAAAAATACAAAAAAAAAAAAAAATCAGCCAGGCATGGTGGCAGGTACCTGTAATCCCAGCTACGCTGGAGGCTGAGGCAGGAGAATTGCTTGAACCTGGGAGGCGGAGGTTGCAGTGAGCTGAGAGCGCCACTGCACTCCAGCCTAGGCGACAGAGTGAGACTCCATCTCAAAAAGAAAAAAAAGATATAAAAACTCAAAGGAAGATTCTGGAAAGGGGAGGGTGGTGCCAGAGTAGAGAGAAAGGGAGTTTGCTTAGTGTTTTGAAAGATGTAGCATAACAACATGCTGTGGATGTTGGACGCTGTTTCCAAAGAAATCATTCTTTGCCCTCTTACCAAAGTCAGGGTGCTCTGCCTGATGCCACTAGAACATTTCATTTCCTTCTGGGATCATCTCCTGAAAATATCTGGCTGTTGCATTTGGCCCCATCCATCCACAAAAAGGGAAGAGCCTTGTCTGCTATGTTCTTGCCTTTCTTCACAGTGGCACCGCACCGTTCCACACCACCCTCTCTATTGCAATTTGTGCTTGAGCCTATTCAAGTCAGGAGCCAGGTGAAGAGATAGGAAGGTGGAACAGGCCCCACCAGATTGCACGAGTGCAGGAGTGAAGTGCTTCTTTGCAAAGAACCTTCAAGACCTTCAGAAGCACAGGGCTTGAAAAAATTCTGTCTTTTGGAGAAGCCAGCTAGTAAGAATAAAAATGAAATGAAACATCCAAGTATCAAGATGGTTTTTCCTATTGTGTTCAAACTCCTTGAAACAACCCATGAATGTCTTGCTGTACAAACTGTCATTAGAGACTTACAAAGCCTTCTGAATCTCAGCTGTACATGTATGCTTAACCTGATTAAATGTCGAAATTAGCCTGGGGATCTCCTACTCGTAGACAAAAGGATGTTTAACATTTCCAAAGAGCTAGTGAGTTTTTAATTCATTTTTATTCATAGCAAATCTATATATATATAGTCAGAAGCCTACTGTGTTTAGTCTATGGTGAAGACGACTTTGGTCTCAATCCACAAAGATTAATAGGATATGGAGTTGCCCAAAGGTTCAAGTTCCTCTGTGTGTGTGCTGGTGAAGTGTTTTAACCATTTAGCCAATGGCTACTTGCTAGGTTCTCAAAAGGCTCCCCTCTGTCAGTTTCAAACAATAGGAGAGGCCACATCTATATAAATGGACGATTGCCTACCCACATCAGTAACATCAGACCACACCTGTGAAGCAACGTGCGTTCAATGATCCAGTGAGTTGAAATAGCCTAAATGGTCAGTCTTAAGAATTCAGGCAACTGTCTACTGATATGGAAACTCAGACACAATTTTTTTTGCACCTAAGAGTGGCACTCATTTGCAAACTGCTGGACACCAAGGCAAGACAAGAAAAGAGGGCACAACACATTGTGGGGGAAAGCGCAGATGACCCACCGTGCTGCAGAGTCAGTGCTCTGACAGAGGACAGCTACAGGAGCGCAGGGACAGGAGGAGAAGCCTCAGAGGCTGTGAGCTGAAGGTGGTTTGGGATAAGCCCAACTTACCCGGTTGTTTCCAGTCTGGTCCTTATAGTAAATCCAGTTCAGGTGCTCATCGGTCCTGTACTGCACGCTGTACTTGGTCATCCACTCATCGATGTCACAGCGACCCTGGGTGAGGATCCCTGAAATCACCTTGATCTCCTTCAGATCTATCTGTAACCACTGGCTGCTGTCCTGGAACTTGGAGAGCCAGGCGCACCTGCCGAGAACATACCGAGTCATCAGGAGCCTTCCCCTGTGCATGTCTGCAAAAAGCCCACAGGTGCTGGCTTTCAAAGGGATGTCAGCACCCGAAGAGCCCCCAGTCAAGCTCGGGCAGTCTGGGCTGCAGTCTGAGTCTTGTCTTCTAGGAGTGTCCAGCCTCTGTTACACTTAACTTGCATCTCATTCTCCCTCTCCCTGCACCTCCACTTCCTGAGAAGAAATTGCCAGATTCGACTAATTTGTCAAAGAAATGCCTTGGAGTAGCTGAAATTGCCTTTGGGCACAGTCGAACATGTCTGTCCACAAAGCATGCAGGTGCATGGCTGTTACACCCCCAGCCCCTGCCCTCTGCATTAGTCTCCCCAGGTGATTGTTGCTGTGCATTTCACTCTCTTCACACCTATTTGTGTTTCCCTCGGATGGTGACATCCCTGGCATTCAGGAAGTGTCTGCCTCCTGCAGAGCACTGACCCATGTGGATCTGGAAGGGCTTTGACAAGCCTCAAGCCATATAACCGTTGAAGCAACTAATCTTTTTTTTTTTTTTTTTTTTTTTGAGACGGAGTTTCGCTCTTGTTGCCCAGGCTGGAGTGCAATGGCGCGATCTTGCCTCACTGCAACCTCCGCCTCCAGGTTCAAGTGATTCTCCTGCCTTAGCCTTCCAAGTAGCTGGAATCACAGGCGTACACCACCACGCCCGGCTAATTTTGTGGTTTTGGTAGAGACAGGGTTTTACCATGTTGCCCAGGTTGGCCTCGAACTCCCAACCTCAGGTGATCCGCCCTGCCTCAGCCTCCCAAAGTGCTAGAATTAAAGGCGTGAGCCACCACGCCCAGCCAACTAATTTGTTTTTTTAGCTACATTCCTCATAAATTGTGGAAACCTATCGTAGTTCCCCCAGCCGCCTCCTTTTTTCCTTTCAGTGTGTATTTTAATTAGCTTCATATGACTTAGCCCTGGGCTGCCTTCTCTTCTTTTTCCAGATTTACTTCTTGGGTGGCTCCTGACTTTTTACTTCCATCCCAGACCTTTTCTAAATTCCAAATCCAGAGAGTTCCGTTGCCAGCTAGAGGACTTCCGTATGCCTCTCAGCATCTCAGATGAAACATGTCCCAATGTGAGCCCCTAAGTGCCCCCGCCCCACCCCACTTCAGACCCCACATCTCTGAGTATCCATCCTCCCGTGCATCCATGCCAGCCACCTGAGAACCGTCTTGGGCCCCCTCCTCTCCATACCTCCAGCGCCCAATCCATCTATCGGCCCCATCTCCAAGTCTCAACTTCCTCTATTTCTGTGGGTCTCTACCACCACCATTCTAGCCCATGTCCCCCTCCTTTCTTGCCACACCTCACTTAACTAGTCTCCCTGGATCACTCAGGCCCCACAGAAACCAGAGAACTTTTCTTCAAACACAAATGTGCTTGTGATACTCTTTGACTTAAAATCTTTTTCTGGCAGTCTGCTAATTATCACCCGATATTTCCTTCCCATCTTCATTTGGTAATAGAACCCCTGGGTTTCATCTGGGCAAATGGCCACCTGGCTAAGATGACATTTCCCAGTCTCCCTTGCAACTAACCAAACTCTGGTCAATGGGCTGTGGCCAGAAGTGGCCAATAGAATATGTTTGTGTTCTTAAAGGCAAATCATGTGCACTCTGCTGCTCTTTTGTTTCTCCCCACTAACTAGAATGTGGATGTGATGGTAGAAGACAGAGCCACTATTTTGGACCCCAAGATAGATGTTTCATGTCAAGGATGACAGAATAACAAAGTAGAGCCTGGGCCCCTCATGCCATCAAGCTGCCATAACAACCCTAGGCTGCTGAATGAAACATTTTTTTTTTTCTTTCTGAGACAGAGAGTCTTGCTCTGTCGCCCAGGCTGGCATGCAGTGGCCTGTGATCTCGGCTCACTGCAATCTCCACCTCCCAGGTTCAAGTGATTCTCCTGCCTCAGCCTCCCAAATAGCTGGTATTATAGTCACCTGCCACCACACCTGGCTGAGTTTTGTATTTTTAGTAGAGATGGTGTTTCACCATGTTGGCCAGGCCAGTCTTGAATTCCTGACCTCAGGTAATCCACCTGCCTCGGCCTCCCAAAGTGCTGGGATTACAGGCGTGAGCCATCACACCCAGCTGATGAATGAAACTTTTAAGTGAGCAAGAAACACACTTCTACATTAAGTCACTGTATTTTGGTGCTCTTTGTTACAGCAGCATAAACCTGTATGCTAACTAATTTGCACTCAGGGTCCTTCCATTATCTCCGCAGTAAGGACCACAGTCACTAACGTGGCTTCTAAGGTCCTGCAGCATCTGACCTCTGCCTGCCTCTCCACCTTGCCTCAGCTGTGCTCCAGCCTTGCTGCCCTCTTTATGTTCCCCATCCACACCCTGGAGGTATCGTCCCAACTCAGGGCTTTTGCACCTGCTGTACCTACCCCACACCTCTTCCCCTCCCTCACCTGGCCAACTTCAAGTTGTAGATCAAATATGTTTTCCTTAGAAAGCCTTTGCTGGCTGCATGAATGAGGTCTTTCTTCCTTCATCTCCCCCGCAGCACTCATAAGTACATTCTGTCATTAAAGAGGCCTTTTTTTTTTTTGAGACAGGGTCTCCCTGTGTTGCCCAGGCTGGAGTGCAGTGCGGCTCACTGCAACTTCCACTTCCCAGGTTCAAGCAATTCTCCTGCCTCAGCCTCCTGAGTAGCTGGGATTACAGGCACATGCCACCACACCGGCCAATTTTTTGTATTTGTAGTAGAGACAGGGTTTCACCATGTTGGCCAGGATGGTAGAGAGGTGCAGGTTTTTTTAAAGCACATGAAAAAAATACCCTGGGCCCTGCTTACCCAAAGCCTTGACTGTTAAGCCGGGCCTTGTTTGCAGTCCACGAGGAATACCAGCCCACATACTGCTCTGGGTTAGAGCAGGTGATCTGGTCCGGTGTGACCTCCCCCGACTCGAAACCCAGGGGCTTGTGATATGGGCATTCTGGGAAAGGAAAAAGAATGCATATTCAAACACATATCTCAATACTCAACAAGCACCAGGTGACTGAAATAACAAAACTAACCCATCTGCTTTGCATTTCGGAGCTGGAAAAGGCTTTACCTGTCTCTCTGGTTCACAATGAGTAGGGCTGGGTCTTAAACGGTTCACTACTCAGGCGAGAAAGGAATGAAGGATGAAGTAAAGGAATTGCCATAGAGACTCACAGCCTTTGTAAAAGCAGAGGGAAGGGGCTCTATGGCAACCTCACAAGGGGTGTGTGGAATTTTGAGAAATGCCTCACCTCCTCCGCCAACTTAGAGATCTGTGCACAGCGAAACACCATATTTAAATGCTATACATCTTTCTTTCCTTCATTAACACAGATTTAGCCGTCCCCTCATTGTCTTTGGGCAGCAGATGATGCCAATTATAGGGACAAAACCACAGTGAGAGGAGAGGCAAGACGGGCGATTACATATTGAGATATTGAGAGTAACTTCCTACTTGTAAATTGCAGTTTTCTCACCAGTCTAATGAAAAAAAAAATGGGTGAAATGTGCTCGGGGAACTGTTGAATGAGAAACAGCTGAAAGGAACTGCTTTTTCCCAGGGGTAGTAGCCAAAGGTGCTTCTTCTGTGTTAATTCTCTCTCCCTTTCTCTCGTCTGTATGTCCCCTCACATTAAACACAGTGTCCAGTTACCTGGTCAGAGGCTGCCAGTTTTCAACCCATTCATTCTCCCCTTCTTCTTCTTCTTCTTCTCTTTTATTTTTTATTTTTATTTTTTTGAGACAGGGTCTCACCCTGTCACCTAGGCTGGAGTGCAGTATTGCGATATCATCCCATTGCAACCTCTGCCTCCTGGGTTCAAGTGACCCTCCCACCTCAGCCTCCCAAGTAGCTGGGACCACAGGTGCATGCACCACACCAGGCTAATTTTTGTATTTTTTGTAGAGATGGGGTTTTGCCATGTTGCCCAGGCTAGTTTCGAACTCCTGGATTCAAGGGATCTGCCCGCCTCCGCCTCCCAAGGCACTGGGGATTACAGGTGTGAGCCACTGCACCTGGCCTCCCCTTCCTTTTGACTAAAGAGCTCCCCTTTCATTGGGAGCAGCAATGTAGCCAGCTGAATAAAGAGCCTTTCCCAGCTTCCTTTGCATTTAGAAGTGCCCACGTGACATCACTTCTGACCAGTGAGATACAAAGTCTGCCTGCTGGGATTTCTGTTCAGGTTTTGCTTGCCCCTTCTTTCTTCCTGTCACCTAGACTACATCTGATGGCTGGTGTGACAGTAGCCATCTTGCACCATGGGGGTAAGGCTAAGAGAACTGCAGAGGCCGAGCATGGTGGCTCATGTCTATAATCCCAGTGCTTTGGGAGGATCGCTTGAGCCAGGAGTTCAAGAGCAGCCTGAGGCAACATAGGGAGATCCCATCTCGTGACACACACCTGTAGTCCCAGCTACTGGGGAGACTGAGGCAGGAGGGAGGATTGCTTGAGCCCAGGAGTCTGTGGCTGCAGTGAGCCATGATCATGCCTGATCATGCCACTGCATTCCAGCCTGGGTGGCAGTCCCTATCTAAAAAAAAAAAACAAAAAAAAGAACTGTAGAGACCTTAGCCTTGATAACCTTGTAACTCCCTACCCCTAATATTTTTTACCATGTAAGTTAAAACAAAACTCCTAAATCAATAAGCCAGTATTTAGGGGGTCTTGTACTTATAACCAAACCCAGTTCCTAACTGAATTTTTACAGAAAACAAATGGCAAATGTATTTTCCTTTTTTGTTAGAGACAGCATCTCCCTGTTACACGGGCCGGAGTGCAGTGGCACGGTCATAGCTCTCTGCCACTCTAACTCCTGGGCTCAAGCGATCCTCCCACCTCCTTCTCCTAGCTTTCTTTTTTTTCTTCTCCTAGATTTCTGATGATGAATGATAAACTAGAAATAAGGCAAATCATAGTATTTTCTTCATCTGTAAATTTGAGTTCAGGTTGAAGGGCCGAACATATTTACTGAGGCATCATTACCTGTAAAATGAGGGCTGAAGTCTCTCTGGAGAATTTTTCAAAAGTCAGTAAACTTGAATGAAACATGCTTGCAGAGACAGCTATGCCCTGTCCCCAGAGGCTAAAAACAGGCCAGCTTGAGACCTCTGGCCAGGGAGGCTTAACTTCCTTTCTACCCAAATGCACCAAAGGAAGAGGCCTGATCCCACTAGCATCTGCAGCTCTGTGGGACTGAGGGTGAGGACACAGAATTTGTAGTTTATCAAGTACTCAAGACTTTGGGAGTCTGTTTCGATCATGTCAATTTCCGGGAGAGCAAAGAGGAGTGCTTTGTGGGCCATTCAATCCTGCCTTGCGTGGCCAGGGAATCATCAGAGGAGCTTATTAAAAATGCAGTTTCCAGGACTCCACCCCAGAGCAACTGAATTTTTAACACTTTTGGTAGTGCACTTTGAAAGCCTTGGCCTGCCAGGGAAGGTGTTTTGTGGGCTGGCAGATCCCGAGGACTGAGTGCCTGTGGACTCGAGGGCTCCTCCACCGCCTCGCCGCCCCTCCAGCCAGGAGGACAAGCCCAAGCGATCAGGAGCGGGGCACAAGGCCAGGTGGCAGAGTTTTTTCATAGGCAAAATTCTAACTTTGGTTGTCTCTGAAGCCCCTCCACTTTGAGCATTTGATGACTGAACCTCCTTTTTTTTTTTTTTTTTTTTTTGTTCAGGGTCACCAGCTCTGAGGGAGGAGGCAGAGGGGAAGGGGAAAACACAGCGCCACCTCTCCCAGTCACCTTATTCTTGGCACTTTGCTCTTCTTTGTGTGTTTTCCCTTCACATCTCTTTTGTCATTTCTTCCCAAATAGCCTTTTTAAGGTTTCAGAGTGGGCTGTAGGCCTGCAGAGGTACCTGGTCAGAGCCAATGGCCTTAGTGGCTTGGGAGGGCCTGTCCAGGCAGAGAGAATGTGTGGTTCACTCTGTGATCCAAAGACCTGTGTGTCCAGACATGGATGCTGTACTTACTCCCCAGGGAAGGTGATGATCTCACTGTCACCTTGGCTTCAGCTGGTGTCTGGGGGCTGATGCCTGACTCCCTGGCCCCAAGCTTCATTCCACTGCCCTCTGAATTTTTTCCAGAAATATATGTCCCCTGTGGTAAACCAAAGAAGTTTCACACTCCGTATGTTCCAAACCGAGCCCTTCATCACTCAACCTCCAGTCCTGCTCCCTATCCAGAGCTTGAGGTCCGAGGCACTTCCATGCACCTGACAACCCGGGTCCGCGGCACTGCTGATTTCAGATCCCTAACCCAGCAATCCGGTAAGCAGAGACTCTAGGTGGTGGGGCTCAGCCTGGGCTGCACCTTGGCATTGCTGGAGAAGCTGTAGAGATGCTGGTGTTCTGGCCACACCATCGGGATTCTGATATCATTGGCCTGGGCGTGGGGCGAAGCTGCAGGGTTGTAATGGGCAGTCATGATCAAGCAGGCCTGCGTCCAGCCAGTGACACCTGGGGTAGGGGCCCACCCTCTCAGCATGAGCACAGGCCAGGTGCTTAACCTCTCTGGGTATCGGTCTCCTCATCTGTGAAATGGGGCATGACAGTAAGTAGTACCTGTCTTCATAAAATCACTGTAAGATTAAGTGAAACTATTTGGAGATTGCAGAGTTCATAGAGCACAGTGTCTGGCCGAAAAGCAGCAGGTACATGACATTGGTGCAGGTGAATTCATGAGACTACCTTGAGATCTTGAATTTTGCATGTTTTTCTGGCAAAGACTTAATCAGGAGGAAATCCAATGGCCCTCTATCCTACTCTGTTCTGTTGCCATTTATTCTCCCCCGCCCCACGCCTCCCCCAACACACCCTCCAGAGAATGAGGCCAGCTTCATGTGACTAAATGGTTTCAGCTCTCCTTGCCCCAGGCAGGAACAAGTGTATGTGTGTGTGTGTGTGTGTGTGTGTGAAGGATATGAGAGAGAAACCCGGTCGACAGCATCCCTCAGGCTTATGGACCTGGAAGATCTAGGCCCCACCAGGAATTAGTGCATTGTCCAAGAGAAGGAGGTCACCTCCCCAGCTGAAGTCGCAGGGGTGTGGCGAGGGCCTGAGAGTGCAGCGGGGAGGGACCTGATTCCCCTGAGGGGCTGGACCAGGGTGGGTCTGGGAGCCCTGAGTGCCCTCAGAAAACTCGGAAAGATCCCTCGGACTGAGCTTGGCGTTCACTTTCCAGTGAGGCTGTGGCCAGGCCACCCTCACAAGCTCCTGGGGGGTTCGAGGGTCTAAAGGGGGAGAAAAAAACCTTCAAAAATTCTGTCCAAAGACTCCTCATGGGCCATTACAAGGGGAACTACAGCTGGATTTCTTCTAACATGGAAAAACAGAAAATGTGCCATTTCCCCCACTCTGTGTGCCCTGAAGAAGAGCGCGCTCCAGTTCTTTACTGTGATTTTTCCTGACTCCTTTTTCCCCTTTCCTCCTCCTTCAGGGGGCCTGGTTGAGCTCTTTTCAGGTCTGCATGTGGCCTGCAGGCCTTCCCTGAGGCTGTCCCCTCCCATCCCCACCCCTTCGCCTGGTCCTCCACACCTCAGCCTTCAGATCTCTGCCTGCCCTGAGCTGGGTAAGAGGCCCCAGATGGTTCCTCCCCAGCACCCTCCACACCTGTCACATACCCCTCCTCCTCCTCGAAGTTCATTGTCATCTCCCTTTGCCTACCTCCCTCCCCATTCTCCCCGCAAGCAGAGCAGAATGCCTGCAGGTGCTGGGCACTCTCTAGGTATTGACTAGATGGGTGGATGGACGATGAATGAACAAACACCATTGCCCCGTTTCAGGTGGCCCACTGGGGACAAGCAGAGGAAGTGACAGAAACAGGCAGCAGAGGGAAGAAGTAGATGTTGACTGTGACCTCTGGCCTAGTCAACATAAATTGAGTAGATGTTAGAAGGCAACATAAATAGTGTTGTGAAAGAATTAAGGGGATCCTAAGCCGGGAGCGGTGGCTCACTCCTGTAATCCCAGCACTTGGGAGGCCGAGGCGGGAGGATCACCTGAGGTCAGGAGTTCGAGACCAGCCTGGACAACATGGTGAAACCCCGTCTCTTCTAAAAATACAAAAATTAGCTGGGTGTGGTGGTGGACACCTGTAATCTCAGCTACCCGGGAGGCTGAGGCAGGAGAGTCACTTGAACCTTGGAGGCGGAGGTTGCAGTGAGCCAAGATCACAGCACTGTATTCCAGCCTGGGTGATAGAGCAAGACTCCATCTCAACAACAACAACAACAACAACAAAAAAAAAAAAAAAAAAAAAAAGAACTAAGGGGGATCCTTAGCAGACACACACAGAATGTGACCTTGCTGAGTTTTCTGCCCAACGTCACTTTGTTGTTGCAGCTATTAGACCTGTTTCTGTTTCATTTCACCCTGAGGGAAAAGCCTACATCTGTGGCCCAAATGGCTCTTCTGAGCCATGATATCATCATAAGATGGATAAAGGCATATTTGCAATATTACCAACCCGAGGCTGTGTATGTTTCATATTCTAGCCTTTTTGCTTAAGTGGCTACTTTCTGGGTTTGTACGCAGGCTTATAAAGCATGCAGACCTAAAGAAACACAGAGTTCAGGGATGTTCTTAACACGAGATTCCAGACACATGTGAATAGTGTTATGCATATATATTAGACTTGAATATATGTGACAATATAGTGGAGTACAGAAGAAAATACACAGAATAATATTTCTGGAAGAATGGATTATAAGCTCAAGTATCATATAGAATAGAAAATCTAGAATCAAAAGGAAGCGTTAGCAAACCAGGGGATTTCATATACTTTTGATAACTTCCCTACCCTATTTTCTGTTCTCAGAGTGCCGGGGTAATCTTGGCTCAACAGTGGAAAAGACAGAGCTTTTAGCATTTTTAATAGCATTAAAGTGAAGATTAGGAGGCCACAATGCACGTGGCCTTCTGCTCCATGGGGGTGGCGGGCATTAGTCAGAGTGCACCTGCCAGCTCCTCCTGGCAGCTCTGAATGACCCCGCTGTCCTTCTGTGCTTTCCAGGGTTCTCTTTCTTGGCGAGACAGGCTATGAGAGAAGCCCTGATGTACAAGGCCCAGATACAACAAGCTTCGTCCCTGGCACACCACAAGAATCCCAGGGACTGACAGGCAAGTGCCTTCTGCAAGCCTGTGGCTGGTCCTAGTGCCCGGAATCATCTCTCTCATGGAAGAACCAATTAACATGAATTAATTAACCACTAACACTGAGGCTGAGTTTTTTCCTTTCTGAAAATATCTGCATTGTTAAAAACAAAGCCAAAACACAGTGGGGAGAGGAGAACACTTACGCTAAAAGAATTTCTAATTTTAGAGCTTCAAGCTCATGACAGCTGTGTAGGGGAGACAGCTTTGGGGACCAGAGTCAACATCACATCCCTCAAACACATGGCCTTTCTTCTTCTTCTTTTTTTTTTTTTTTTGACGAAGCCTCACTCTGTCGCCAGGCTGGAGTGCGGTGGTATGATCTCAGCTCACTGCAACCTCTACCGCCTGGGTTCAAGAGATTCTCCTGCCTCAGCCTCCCAAGTAGCTGGAACTATAGGCACGCACCACCATACCCAGCTAATTTTTTAAAAAATATTTTTAGTAGAGATGGTGTTTCACCATATTGGCCAGGACGGTCTCACTCTCTTGACCTCGTGATCTGCCCACCTCGGACTCCCAAAGTGCTGGGATTACAGGTGTGAGCCACTGTGCCTGGCTTTTTTTTTTTTTTTTTTTTTTTTTTTTTTAAATCTGAGACAGAGTCTCTGTCTGTTGCCCAGGCTGGAGTGGAGTGATATGATTATGGCTCACTGCAGCCTCAAACTCGTGGGCTCAAGTGATCCCCCAACCTCGGCCTCCTGAGGAGCTAGGACTATAGCCACCGTGCCCCCCATCTATAGATGGGGTTTTGTCATGTTGCCCAGGCTGCATGTAGCCTGTCTTGAAGTTTCAAACTTGGTTGGGTCAATGAAGCCAATCCACATCAACAATGTCTTTTCAATTTCTTCTTAGAACTTACTTGAAATGGAATTCCAGGAGGTCTCATGTCTCTAGTGAAAAGAACATTTGTTTCCACTAAATGGTAAATTTCTCTAAGGTGGAGACAATGCCTTCATTTCTGTCTCCTTGTCAGTGCCTGACACATCATAGGCACATGTTGAAAGACGGGTGAATTAATTTATAAATTGATTATTAACAAGGGTGTGTCAGTATTGACTGAGCCCATCTTGCCAACATTTAATGGCTGCATGAGCTCAGGCCATGGAGCTTGATGGGATGTCACATAGGAAAACCCCACTGGTTTCCTCACAATCCGGACTCCACTGTTTCCTTGGAAAACAAACTTGGCTCAGAAATGACTTCCCCTTCAGAAAATGGAAAAATCACGATGTAGAAGCCATTGTACCCTACCCTCCCACACACACATTGCAATTTGCTTTTTTAATGCAAATTTAATGAAATAATGAAAAGAGCCTCACACACAGATACACAAACCTGTCTCTTGTGGAGCTATTATTAGGCAATTGTGTAAAGTAAATGAAGTGGCACGACACCACTATAACCCTGGAGAGGTGGCGAGGCCAGTTTTATACAAAATAAGCTCTAAGCGTAGAAAGGATTTAAGGATTGCAAATATTAGCAGGTACTGTCCAAGCCTCTGAAAATTGGATATGCTCACTCCTTCCTCAGAGTGTGAGCTCTTAGGAGGCTGGTGGAAAAGGAACCAACCTTTATTCAACAGTGTGCTGGGTATCCCACGGGCTGCTTTCATGCCTCATCTTACTTATTCCTTGTTGACAACCCCGTGGAGCAGGAGTCAACAAACTATGACCCATGGACCACATCTGGCCCTCTGCTTGTTTTGTAAATAAAGTTTTATTGGAACCCAGCCATGCTTGAGCATTTACATAATGTGTGTGGCTGCTTTCCAACAACAAGGGCAGAATGGAGTAGTTGTGACAGACCTTTGGTCCACAAATACCCAAATATTTCCTGTCTGCTCCTTTACAAAGTTTGTGGGCCCCTGTCTTAGACATAGGCTACATCAGCTGTAGAACAAATTGGCCTGGAAATTTCAGAAGCTCCACAAAACACAGGTTTATTTTTCACTCAGACGACTGGTCGTAGGTAGGCAGGGGATTCTGCTCCATATGATCACGCAGGGACCAAGTTGAAGGAGAAGCCACTATCTCAACAGGGGGCTTCACGGCAGGAAAGGGAGAGCCAGAGAGTTGAGTGCCAGCCCCTCAGTGCCATTTTGGAAGTGGCCTGTTCACTTTGGCTGGAGCTGTTTGGATGGCACCACCTGATTAATTACAAGGGGGCTGGGCATTGGGAGGGAAGCCCATGGCTGTTTGGTGTGCAGGCAGCATCCAAGCATGGTGCTATCATGACGTCCATTGCACAGACAAAGAACAAAGTGACAGTCCCAGATTCCAGAGGTGACACAGCCAGGATTTCAGCCCTGGTCTTCCTGGCTCTAGAGTCTGTTCTCTTTTCAAAATTTCAGACTGCCTGCTACTAATTTCTTTTCTTTTCTTTTTCTTTTTTTTTTTCTTTCTTTCTTTCTTTCTTTCTTTTTTTTTTTTTTTTGAGATAATCTCTCTCTGTCACCCAGGCTGGAGTGCAGTGGTACAGTCACTGCTCACTGCAATCTCCACCTCTCGGATTCAAGCAATCCTCCCACCTCAGTCTCCTGAATAGCTGGGACTACAGGTGTGAGCCACCACACCTGGCTAATTTTTGTATTTTTAGTAGAGACAAGGTTTCACCATGTTGCCCAGGCAAATCTCAAACTCCAGAGCTCAAGCAATCTGCCCGCCTCGGTCTCCCAAAGTGCTGAGATTACAGGCGTGAGCCACGGCGCCCGGCCTCCCATTAGTTTATTTTTAATCAGTCCCATTCGTCGATTTCATTGAAAGTTAGGTCCCATCCTACCATCCCAGCCTGGAGACATGGAGATCTAGGGAGCTGTTTCTCAACACTGACACCAACGTGATGTGTTGAAGCAGGGCCCAGTGTGAGGTTTGAAGCTCAGAGGCCAACTGGAGAAAACCTACATTAACCTACTGTTAATAATGGTAATACATGAATACACACAGCTACCACTCATCTTTCATTCTAAAGATAAGGGTAGCATTCAGGGGTTAATTCAGGTGAGTGGGAAAAAGGAAGAGATACGGGGTGTTCCTAATGACTGTTCCATCCCCAGGAGAGGGGATACCCACCTGGTATACAGTCCAAGGACGTGACGCCAGCAGACCACAGACCACTGGCTCCTCCTTGGCAATCGCACTTGCATACTTTTTGGTACCAGGGGTCCTCGCCTTCATCCTGCAGCCAACCAGACAGGCAGGAAGTCAGAAAATCACAGTCAAAGGTAACTGTGGTAGCCACCCCTGGAGTGATCAGACACCTCACTCACTCCTTACGCACCGTCTACGGCAGCTTCACCACAACGGCCAAACTGAGCTATTAGTCTAGCCTTCATACACACAGCTACCGCTCATCTTGCATTCTAAATAAGTAAATGTCTGCCACCCTGGGCAACCAACTAATAATCTCACAGATACACCCATCTAGGGGGCACCGTTCACCCCATTATAGTTATCTTCAGAAGTTTGGGGAGCCCCAATCCAAGTTTAGACTTTTAACATCCCCTGGAAGTTTGTGTCGTCTGATTCAAGACATGGTTTACTTTCATTCTCAAACACCAATGGTGGAGCTTGCCTTGGTCAAATGTGGTACTGCCACCATCACTAAAGAAGTACATTTTTTTGAGACAGAGTCTTGGTCTGTCCCCCAGGCTGGAGTGCGGTGGTGTGATCTCGGCTCACTGCAGCCTCCACCTCCTGGGTTCAAGCAATTCTCCTGCCTCAGCCTCCTGAGCAGGTAGAATGACAGGCGTGCACCACCATACCCAGCTAATTTTTGTATTTTTTAACTTGAGACGGGGTTTCGCCATGTTGGCCAGGCTAGTCTTGAACTCCTGACCTCAAGTGATCTACCCGCCTTGGCCTCCCGAAGTGTTGCGATTAGAGGCATGAGCCACCATGCCCGGCCAAAATATATTTCAAAATACGTTTTTTAAAAAGTGATAGTGCTCTACATTATTTTTGCCTAGGAAAATCTTCAAAAACATTATGCATGTACATTGCAGCCTTCTTACTGTTACATACCTCTGTAGACGATAATCCCAATGTAGCTAAAGCAAAAGAATGAGACAGAAAAAAATCTGATTAATAAAAGAAAGAGAGATCCAACAGCATCACTCATTACATGGAGAAGTGAAATAGAAATAGTCACATAAAAGCTAACAAGACCCCTTCTGGAAGAATTTAAGGTAAGTAAATACCTGCCAGGAAAAACATCCACAGATGCTAAGAAGCTAGGGACAGTAATTAAACAGAAAGAAGAAGATCATCATTACAGGGCGGGTGCAGTGGCTCACATCTATAATACCAGGACTTTGGGAGGCCAAGGTGGGCCAATCACTTAGGCCAGGAGTTTGAGACCAGCCTGAGTACCAAGATGAAAACCCCTTCTCTACAAAAACAAACAAAAATTAGCCAGGCATGGTGGCGCACACCTGTAATCCCAGCTACTTGGGAGGCTGAGGTACAAGAATCGCTTGAACCCAGCAGGCAGAGGTCTCACCACTGCACTCCAGCCTGGGTGACAGAGCGAGACTCTGTCTCAAAAAAAAAAAAAAAAAAAAAAAAAAAAAAAGGATAATTATGACTGGGTGCAGTGGCTCATGCCTATAATCACAGCACTTTGGGAGGCTGAGGCGGGTGGATCACAACGTCAGGAGTTTGAGACCAGCCTGACCAACATGGTAAAACCTGTCTCTACTAAAAATACAAAAATTAGCTGGGCGTGGTGGCGCACACCTGTAATCCCAGCTACTTGGGAGGCTGAGGCAGGAGAATCACTCGAATTCAGGAGGTGGAGGTTGCAGTGAGCTGAGATTCTAGGCACCCACCACTACGCCTGGCTAATTTTTGTATCTTTAGTAGAGACGGGGTTTCTGCTAAATGAGGGACGGTTTTCCGTCATTAAACTGTCTTTTGTCATAGGGATCTCAGCCATGAGCTTTGAGAGAAGTGAGGAAAAGTGTTGCCTAGATTTTTTTTTTTCTTTTTTTTTCTTTTTTTGGAGACTGGGTTTCACTCTATCACCCAGGCTGGAGTGTAATGGCGCAATCTTGGCTCACTGCAACCTTCGCCTTCGGGTTCAAGCAATTCTCCTGCCTCAGCCTCCCGAGTAGCTGGGGTTACAGCCACCATGCTCAGCTAATTTTTGTATTTTTAGTAGAGACTGAGTTTTCCCATGTTGCCCAGGCTGCTTTCGAACTCCTGACCTTAGGCGATCCACCCACCTTGTCCTCCTAAAGTGCTGGGATTACAGGTGTGAGCCACCGCACCTGGCCTTCCCAGACATTTTGAATAAAACAAACACCTTTCTTTCTTTTCTGATGATAAAGGCAACCTAACTACTGGAAAAATTTCAAACAAAACCTGAGTGTAAAAAATGCAAATAAAAGTCCTTCCTTTAACCACTTTGCTACTTAAAAAGTGAATCTGATGCTCACAAGAAGCTTTTAGAAATGGTCTTGCCTTTTTCATCACAATGATAAAAGTTTTCATTTCAATAATACACCTTTCCCCGTTCTACAACCACTTTTTGTGTCCACTGTGGGCCTGGTGCCGTACTAGGGCCCGGGCCTTGTGACATGGAAGCCTCACTCTCTGCTCGTAGGGGCTTGAGGATCCAGGAGAAGACAGGCCACTGGACCATGCCAAGGTAGGTGCTTCCATGGGTTATGCAAGGGCTGCAGTGGAGTGAAGCGGACATGTCACTTAGCCTAGGAAGATTCAGGCCACGCTCACTGCAGCCTCCACACTGCTGTCTCTCCTGGGTGCTCGTCCCACTGGTTACTCACTTGCTAGGGGCAGAATTGACCGTCTCAGGTAGCCGTGAAGGTTAGGGAGTGGCATCTTTGTAGGAGGCTACTAGAATCCCTGCTATGGTCTGAATGTTAGTTTCCCCCGCAGAATTCATATGTTGGAACCTAATCACCAATGTGGTAGTAAGAGGTAGGGCCTTTGAGAGGTGATGACACTCTGCCCTCTTAAACGGGATTAGTATCTGTGTAAAAGAGACCCCAGGGAGCTAGGAAAGGTCCCCTTGCCCCCTCACATGCCCTTCGAGGGGGCTATGACTAGTTTCTTCAGTGCCCCGCTGCTCAAGCCCCTCGGGGAGCATGCAGATTGCAGGCTGTGGAGCTCTGACCTCAGCGCAGTGTCTAGGGGTGAATGTTTACAGCTGAGACCCCAGTGGGCGTGTGTTTCAGGGTGCTTTTTTAGTTTGCCGTCCGGAGGCGGCTTGTGCTAGCTCAATTAGAACCCTGCCTTGTCACAAGGACAGAGGGCTTTCTGTATCCCAAGGTTCCTGGCTTGGTGTATCGAAAGAATCAGATCACACGTGCTCTTGGAGGATGAGCGCAAGGTTGTATTGAATGGTGGAAGTAGCTCTCAGCAGATGGGGGAGCCAGAAGGGAGATGGTTTTCCCCTGGAGTCAGACTTGCTAGGTGGCCCCACTCTTCTCTGACAGTCCCGGGCAAACTCTGCCTTGTTCTGCTGGTCCGTGGCTTACTGGCTGCGGGCGTCTGTCACGTGCTCTTTTGACAGTGCGCCCCTCTCAACGTCCTCTGGACGTCCAGCCACTCATGTCTTCTGCCAGTGTGCTCCTCTCCACCTCCAGGCGCTTGGGTGTCTGCCTGCTAGGGTCTTGGAGTTTTTATAGGCACAGGATCGGGGGCATGGTGGGGCCAGGGTGGTCTTGGGAAATGCAACATTTGGGCGCCAAGGCAGGAGTGCCTGGGTCTGTGCCTGTCCTCATCTAGGACCGTGGGCACAGGCCTGGGGGTGGGGCCTGAGCCAGGGACCACCCTGCCCTCCGACCGTATCACTAGCTTGCCCCTTCCACCATGGGAGGGCACAGCAAGAAGGTGCCAGGGATGAAGCAGGAAGCAGGCTCTCACCAGACCCAAATCTGCCAGCACCTTGATGTGGACTTACCAGCCTCCAGTATTGTAAGAAATAAATTTCTGTGGTTTATAAGCCACACAGTTTATGGTATTTTGTTATAGCTTCTCAAACAGACTAAGACAGCCTCACATAGTCCCAAATTATGTGCTGTCAGAGGAAGTTAACAATGACTTTTTTTTTTTTTTTTGAAACAGGGTCTTGCCCTGTTGCCCAGGCTAGAGTACAGTGGTGTGCTCCCGGCTGACTGCAGACTCACCTCCCAGGCTCAAGTGATCCTCCCACCTCAGCCTCCTGAGTAGTTGGGACTATAAGCATGTGCCGCCACCAGACCTGGCTAATTTTTCTATTTTTTGTCAAGATAGGGGTCTCACTATATTGCCCATGCTTGTCTCGAACTCCTGGATGCAAGCCTCCCTCCTGCTTCAGCTTCCCAAAGTGCTAGGATTACAGGCATGAGCCACTGTGCCTGGCCACACTGGTCATGTTCTATTTCTTGATCATTGCAGCCTCGACCTCCTGGGCTCAAGCAATCCTCCCACCTCAGCCTCCTGAGTAGCTGGGACTACAGGCATGTCCCGCCATGCTCAGCTAATTTTTAAAATTTTTTTGTAGAGATGGGGTCTTGCTAGGTTGCCCAGGCTGGTCTCAAATTCCTGGGCTCAAGGGATCCTCTTGCCTCCCCCTCCCAAAGTGCTGGGATTACAGGCATGAGCCACCGCGCCTGCCCTCTATTTTCTATTTCTTATCTTCTGAGTGGCTTCGCCATCCATCTGCCACCCCATCCAGGGGGATCTTCCTAGACTCCTCTTTTTCCTAAACCCCTACATCCTATGGCCACCAGGGGCTTTCTCTCCTCTCCATCCCACTGCCACTACCTGCTTGAGGCCCCACCCTCTCTCCCGGGCACTGTACCTGCTAAAGAGAAACTTGTCTTTTTTTTTTTTTTTGAGACAGAGTCTCACTCTGTCACCCAGGCTGGAGTGCAGTGGCGTGATCTCAGCTTACTGCAACCTCTGCCTCCCAGGTTGAAGTGATTCTCCTGCCTCAGCCTCCCAAGTGGCTGGGATTACAGGCATGCACCACCATGCCCAGCTAGTTTTTGTATTTTTAGTAGAGACGGGGTTTCATCATGTTGGCCAGGCTAATCTCAAACTCCTGACTCAGGAGATCCACCCGCCTTGGCCTCCCAAAGTGCTGGGATTACAGGCGTGAGCCACCAGGTCCGGCCAATTTGTCTCTTTCATCCTCCATGCTGCCGAGGCAGCGAAGTGATGCCTGATGCTGCCACTGTCACGCACAAAACCCTTTGGTGGGTCCCCATTGCCAGGGGCTGAGTCCCATCTCTGACATTTATTGTGATCTCTCCATTTTCTCACCCCTACAATACGTGTAATAATAAAGTGTCCTTCAAGGGGTGGTGGAGACAGAGCTACCTCCTGCCCGCCTCTTGGGATTACGTTTCTCACTCTGCGCTGCTCGCCGAGCCACAAACGTGCCAGACCGTCTCATGCCTCCATCCACAGAATTTCTTTGCCTCAAATGCCTCCTCCTACTCCGACTTCTCCTCCTGCTCAGCCCCTCCCTATAAAGAGGACTTTTCCTGGGCGGGTGCACTGGCTCATGCCTAGAATTCTAACACTTTGGGAGACTGAGGCGGAAGGATCCCTTGAGCTCAGGAGTTTGAGATCAGCCTGGGCAACATGGCAAGACCTGGTCTCTGCTAAAATAAATAAATAAGTAAATAAATAAATAAATAAATAAAAATTAGCCAAGTGTGGTGCCACACACCTGTGATCCAAGCTATTTGGAAGACTGAGGTGGGAGGATTGCGGGAGTTGGAGGCTGCAGTGAGGTATGAGTGCATCACTGCACTTCAGTCTGGGTGACAGAGTGAGACCCTGTCTCAAAAAAAAAAAAAAAAAAGAGGGTTGTTCCTGTCCCCCAGCTCACCACTTGCTCTGGCCTTTTCAATCTGCCTTTTTCTCACCCACAAGTCATAGAAACCCATACAAAAGAAAGATGGCTGATAATAACTCACCCCAAAGCATTCATTCATTCATCTAATGTTCATTGAGCATCTACTACATTCCAGTCCCAGCTTTAGGTGCTAGGGATAGAGTAGTAAACAGAACAGGAAAAACACCTGCCATC